TTTTAAATACTAAATATATTAAAATTAATATATATTAGTTTTGACTTAAAAAAATTAAAGTTCCAACTTATTTTAAGAAATTCAAATTTAAATTTAAAATTCAAAACTTAATCAATTTTTAAATTTAAATATAAATTTTTAATAAAATAAATTTTTAAATTTTAAATTGAGTTTTAATTTAAAAAACGACATAATTTAATCTTAAGATTTTAATTTTTTTTTAAAAATCAAAATTGTTATACATTTTTTCTAAATATATTTTACATATTTTTAAAGAGGTTGGTATGTATTAGTCTTAAGTCTTAAAACAATTGAAGCCTCAATTTACACTTAAAAATTGAAATCTTATCATATTGATATCTAGATTCGAAAATTTATTATATATTTTAATACAATCAATTTTTAAATCTAAATATTAATATTTAATAAAATAAATTTATAAATTTTAAATTAAATTTTAATTAAATAAAATGATGTAATTAAAATTAAAATTTTATTTTTTTAAGAGTGAAAATTAATATATTTATTTTTTATTTTTAAAATATTAAAATATCAAAATATTTATAATTACAACCAGGAGGTAATATTGCCGAGCTCAACCATAGGCAACTCATAGTGATTATGGACACCTTGGGCTTAGCATTTTTGTTTTATAGAATCCCTTTCCGTTCTTGGTCCAATGATTTCGTATTTGTTTATGCCCACGTTTAAGCTTGCCGATTACATCATCCTTTCAACTTTAGTGGTTTATTATTATTATTATTAATAAAATAAAATTTATAATATCTTATTAATAAAATTACATATTTATCTTTAATTATCACTATACTCTCCATTTAATAATAGACTTAATTTTTAGTTTGATACATTTAAATTTAATTATTTTTTTAAAATCGTTATTTGATATGTTTATTTTTATTGTGAGAAAAGTAATTACAATATATCTTAAATAAAATAAAAGAGAAAAAATATTCTGTTCAATTATATTAAAACATTAAATTAAAATCTTAATTTAATTAAAGAAAAAAAACTTTACTCCCCTAATGCTCCGTTTCTCTCAAACTGAGTCCATGTTGATTTTTGAATACAAATGAAATAGGGAAATCCCCCCTTGCCAATATTGCAAGAACGGTTTATTTATTTATTAATATTTTGGTATTTTAAAATTATATTAAATATTAATTAATTTAAAATTAAATCACATCAAATATTATTAAAAAAAATTTTTAACATCTATCTTTTTATTTATATAACTCAAACTTAAAACTTATTTAAAAAAAATCAAATTCTCTCTACTAAATGGATAATTAACTGCAAGTACGACTTGCTAAGGTTGGTGTGACCTAACTCCTCAGCAAATATGGCCAAGCATTAGGCTATTGTACTTGTACCTAGGGATTTCGAGCTTGGAATCAGCATTCTTTGTTTTTAAAGAATACTTTTTGTTTACACACCTGACCTGTAAGACCGATTGATATTTGGTGTGTGTCCGCAGCTCTATGGGTTAGGTGTAATCCCCTCCGTTATCCCGAAAAATTGCCCTTGTTCCAAAAAAAAAATAAAAAAAAAAAAGAATACTTTTTGTTTTTATGGGCTCAGTCACTGTTATCCACTGATTTCGTAATTGCTTATGTCAACATTTTGACAGACTTGCCCAGTCTTCCACCTTCACAGAAGTTTGAAGTTTCCAAGCCACCCCCTTCTCGTTTGACCGTTGTTACTTGACTAGGACAAGCGATGGTAGACACTTGACAACCCCATTTTACTGCCAGGACGGAGCCGGAAAATTCAATTAAGGGGTGAGAATTATTGTTAAAAATTTAAGTTTTTAAATATATTTTAAGGTATTAATTTATTTTTTAAAAATTCTTTTATAAAAAGATTTACTTGTAATATTTTTTATTGATATATTTTTCCAAAAAACTAGATATAAATGTATTTGTTAAAATAAAAAATAAAATATTAAATTAATAAATCATGCAATAATCAATTGAAGAATGAATAGAAAAAATTTGTTTGTTATTCAAATTTTAAAAAAATTATGAGAAAAAAACCAAAAAAATTATATTATTTCAATGAACTCATATTAAAAAAGATAATAATAACATTTTCTTAAAGTAAAAATAAAGGTATTTTAGTTTTGTTGAAATAACATAATTTTAGGGTATTTTTGCTTTTAATTATTTGAAATATATGTTGATAAACACTAATATTATAAAAATATGCTTGAATACTTTTTTAAAAAACTGAAATTTAACTTAAATTGATTTAACATAAAAAAATATAATAAAAAACTATAAATTTAAAATTATTTAAACAAAGAGAGAAAGTTTTTTTTTAGACTTAATAAATGAGAAAATATTTAAGAACTACAATTTTTAATTAATAAATTGATATAAAGTTTATTTCATTTTGAATCATTTTCTTATTTTTTAAAAATTCTTTATTTATGTCTTAAATATTTTTTCTATGAAATAATTCTTGAAATTCATACTCTAAAAACAAAATTTTTAACAAATAAAAATTAGAATACCATATTAAATATTTTTCAAAAGTTCAGGGGGGCGGCTGCCTCTTCTCCTTCATCGACTCCGTCCCTGCTTACCGCCCAAGCCAACTCCTTCTACATAAATAGCAGAGAAGCAGGCTCTATTCCAGTACTACTCATCAAATCTCCATGGGTGAAGAAGTGAAGCTTTTTGGACATTGGGCAAGCCCTTTTAGCCGCAGAGTAGAGATTGCTCTGAAACTCAAAGGTGTTTCCTATGAGTTCATACAAGAGGATCTCTCAAACAAGAGCCCTCTTCTGCTAAAATACAATCCTGTTCACAAGAAAGTCCCCGTTCTCCTACACAATGGAAAACCGATCGCAGAGTCGCTTGTCATTCTTGAATACATCGACGAAACATGGAAAGGCAATCCCATCTATCCAGAGGACCCTTATGAGAGAGCCGTTGCTCGTTTTTGGGCTAAGTTCATAGACGAAAAGGTAAGCATCATCTAATCATTAATTTTGT